CCCCGTGCCTGGGTTACCGCTCTCCATACTATGGAAGGAATGGTTTGCCCTTGAGCCGCCGGCACGGCCTCCCCCCGTCCCGGAGCTTCAGGCCCGGCACGTCCGACACCCCCGCTTCCCTCTCTATCCTTTTCGGTTCCCCTCCGGGGCTCCGCCCGCCCCCGGCCGCACCCCGCGGGCAGAGGCGCAGCGGAGCGCCGCAGCAGCAGCGGCTGTTAGCACGCAATTTCTGTAACCACCGAGGTGTATTTTCGGGGTTAAAGCACCGGAGCTCCGGCGGGACACGTGGAGCCCTGCGGGCCTCAGGGGCAGCGCCCGACTCCCCGGCAGCGCCGCTGGCAGCGCAGCGCCGGCCTCACCCAAACGCTTGGTTGGGCACCGCCGTGCGGAGCGGCGCTGCGGACGTCCCCCGGGCCCGGCCCTGCGCGGTGCGGTGGGATCTTGGGGAGGTGCGGGGTGTGCAGCCAGCGTGTGCCGCCCCGGAGCCGGCGATGCCGCGGCTCACCCGGCTGCTCGCGGTGCTGAACGCGCCCTGCTTGCTGCCGTCTCCTAACCCATACATCGGATAAGCTGTACCCGGCGGTGCTCGGGCACCGCGTCCAAACCGCCGCGCAGGGCGACGCGAACCCTCGGCGGCTCGCGTTTCCCACCCGATGTTGCTTTCCTTGGGTCCCGCCCGCGGTGCGTTGCTCACAGCCGTCGGAACCGGCCCGACCTCGGCCGGCGTCGTGCGGCACCAGCCCTGCGGTGCCCGGCCCAGCCCCGGCTCCCGTGCTGTGGTTGCCAGGGCAGGTAGCAATTTCCCTATTGACATACATCTGGGCAGGGGCGTGCTGTCGGCAGTGGTGGTCACTTTGGACTCATTATTCTTAAACTTAGTATTTCGTCTGTACCCAAGGCTGGGGAGAGGCTGGGCCTTGTTCCATGTGCTTCATTCAAAAAGTGTTTTCTACATCCTTTTTTTTTCTTTTTCCCCCGATCATTTTTCGATTCCTTGCCAGTTTACCTTCCCATAACGCAGCTCTCATGGCTCACAAGGCACTGCAGCGAGCTGAGCGGAGTTCACCTCTTTCTTTATTTCCCCTCTCCACTGTGACCCCCTGCCCACCTCCAGCCCTTCAGCCCTGTTCTTGCTGTGCAGGCCTCCTTCCATACCTCCTGGTCGCATTCCCGCTGTCACCTGGAGGGCACCAGAGGCTCCCGAGGCCTTTTGGCAGCCCCCGGCTTTCCCACCACCCCTTCCCACCCACTCCTGTGTGCCCCCTGTAGCCTTGATCGCAGCGCAGGCCTTGCAGGCTCTGAGGGCTGTCCCAGGGGTCCCACAGAATCATAGAATGGCTTGGGTTGGAAGGGACCTCAAGGATCATCAAGCTCCAACCCTCATCTTGGCTGAGCGTGAGTTCTTGGGCTGCGTGGGAGCTGTGTGGGGCCGTACTCCCTGTCCTGGCTCTTCCAGGATGTTGGTGATGGGTGGGGGTTCGGCTCTTACAACCCCAGCAAACCCCTGGATAAAACCTCCAGCAACTTCATGGCAGCAATCTGCAGCATCTCAGGGAAATTATGAATGCGTTCAGGTGCAGTGGTCTAAAAAAATTAAAATGATGATCATAGGCTTATTTAACATTATACCTTCTGTGTTATTTTCTTTTGTATGTGCTGACTAGAACTGAGCAAAGGATTCATAACAAATAATTTATTTGTCAAACGCATTCTCTTCTGCTAGTGGAATATCCATGAGCAGAGCATCATTTTCTCAAATGTGTTTGTTTTCTGTGACGCTTCAGTGGTTCCTTTAAATGCATACCGGTGTGGCCTGGCTGCAGATGGTTCCCATGGTGGAGCTGCAGGGCTGGCCGATAGCGTGGCTCCGACCACTCTGCCCATGCTAACAAGCACCTTGCAAAGTGGGTTTTCTGCTGGTGCTCGTGCCACGGGAACGTGATCCAAACGGCAGAGAGGATGTGAGCAGTGCTGAAGCAAAGCCATTAAAAATTCAAATGAGCGCTTGGCGAGCAGAGGACACTTTCCACCCTGTCCTCCCGGCTGCAGTGCGACCTTCATGCTGTGCTGGAGCTGCTGGCGGAGCTGGAAGCAGAGGAATGGCAGGAGGGCAGAAGGCAGTATGCTGGTGCTGGGCAGCGGCTCCTGCACCTGCTTGGCCCAGATGCACAGCCAAAGTGAAATGGGGTGGTGGAGGGAAAGTTACCAATTGCACGAGTCTCAGTCAGATCTCGCCCCTTGACGCTGTAGCCCTGTAAGAGTGTTTGTTGTCATTGTTTCCTGCATGTGCAGAAGCCATTGCCTCCTCCTTACTGAGGGTGCGTCACTATGCCATAAAGGTACAAAAATGGGTATGGTTGGGAAAAACCTGCACCTAACACTGTGTGTTCTTCATGGAGGCTGATGCTTGCTGACGCATGGAGCGATTCCCTTGACAACCCCCACGTTAAGGGGCTGTCTGTCAGCACCTCTCTGCTTCTTTTGGTGCTGGCACCTCACTGTGCAGCCTGTCTGGCACAAACTTCATGGGGGCTGCTGGCAAACACTCAGTGCTGCAGCATCCCCACGCAATTCTCCAGAGCTCTCTGCTTCGTGCCCCACATCTCTCCTAATGGAAGGTCCAACTGCCTGTAATGTGCTCTGTGCTGCTCTGCAGGAAGACAGATGCTTTACGAGAACAGCTGGTGCTGTGCTGATGGAATGGCTGTCTCACAGGTGTGACACTGCTGGGCAGGACATAACAGGCATGTCTTGAACACCCCGGGGCAGTCGTGAGAGCAGCTAACAGCAGCAGGGCACTTGGCAATGGATGGCAGAAAGAGATGCTTCTGAGATACCCAAATCAAATAAACTAAAATAAGAAGATAAAAAGCAAGAGAAAAATTTGATGTTTTGAAACAACCACGAGTGGAGATGAGTTCTTAAACACTTCTGTGATAGAATTTGCCTATGGAAGCACACAAGAGCTATGGCAGCAGGTGTATGTGGTGCTGTAGGACAGTGTGAGTGGATTGATGTAGAGCAGAGCATTTCCTTCCAACCTCAGAGGTTTTTCTTAACCAAAAAAAAAGAACCTTAAAATTTGATTGTAAATTGGCTGAGCGATTCAGACAGCTGCA